TGGATGTTTGTCCTTAGAATCATCCCCTGTATTCTAAACCACCAGGCAGACACGGGCCATCTCAATATTAGCGGCTAACTCCTCTTGTATAATCCAAAACTGTCCTCTTCGAGCACCCATTACGCAGAACAGCAACGACGACCGAGCCCCCCTGCACGTCTTGAAGCACATGTCTGGGAAAGAACTCCTGTGAAAACTGCCAGGGCCAACGCGTTGGATAGGGTGCCGGCACGCTGGCGGCACGCTGGCGCTTTCGGGTCCTTGATGCCAGCATCCAGAACGAAGACGAAATCGACTTGATCCAACCACCGCCTCGACGAAACGAAAGCAGAGCTTGGCTCTTCGGGTCTTCGGGTCCCCCTTGGGCTGCGGCCGATCGCCGATGGCTTGAAAGATCGAAGAAAAGGCAGAGTCAGCAAAATCATTCACCAAACCCATCCATGACCTTTGCCACGAGCACCCTGCGTAGTCAGCTTCGATCCGGACTGGGCGCCACGCCTGTCTTTGAATTCTAACGACTTTGCCGCCTTCTTGAAATAATCACCTGGGCTTGTACATCCACTGGGAACGCTCAACGTTTGACCTGCCCCATCGTCGTTGGTATCTTTCGCTCACTCTGAACAGTGGACGCCACACCGGCAAACTTGACAGCAAACGCATGCTATGTTTCCCTCATGCGTTAAATCGCACTTCTGCATGAGCTTCGGACGAAGTCTCTTGCAAAGCTTGGCAGGCTCCCATTCCTCATGTATGGTGACAGGTACATCCCCTGCATCCCCTTGACAAAACCGCGATGCCTTCTCCAAATGTTGGACAGGCTCGATTGCTTCTGTCACAGCATCAGCTAAGTCTCCTTCCATTATCAAAACTTGTTGATCCCCAATGGCTGAAGGTCGGAATGGCACGGCCATGAATCAAGCGGCTGTACTCAAGCATATGCTGAGAAGCCCTTCGATTGCTATGAAGGCCCTGGTTGGAACAGAGGCGCATTTGTTGCTGAAATCCCCCTGTTGACAGTGCTGACCCTTGTGCAGTTTGAATCCAAACTTACACCATTTGTTGCAATAACGTTGAAGAATGCTCTCCATCACTGGGAAAGCAGTGTCGAAGAGTCCGGCGGTTTGCACCTCCCCACATGGAGCCCTCAGTAAGGCGACCGACCGAGGCTCTCCGAGCACCAGATGCAAGGCCGAAAGGTGGGCATGTCCCTTTGTCTCCAATGCGATGCGTCCACCAGTTGGCCACCGTGGCTTTTTGTGCTGCGTGCAGTCCTCCACTGGTTGATCATGCATTGGAGATGCTGGCAAGTTGGACAGATCCAAGAAGCCTGTGGGCTCGATGTCATCCCATGAAGCCCAGCGAACTTCATAAGCTTGAGCGTCGCAGTCAAAGCCGAGGACACTTGCGAAGAGGCTTGCGCAAAGCGTGGAAGCGACAGTCAGACAGGAGGTGTCGGCTTGAGAAGAGACGATCCTCCTTCCTTTCCTACGTGCCCGAAGCTTCGAGGAAGCATGCCCACCTGGAGCTCGCTTTTGATTGTTGGCTTGCGAGATTGTTCGGCAGCTAGTTCCTTCTCCTGACCAGTCGTTTGAAGGAAAGGCAGATTGAAGTTCATGTGGATGTTGGTCAAGTTTGACACTCGGCAGTTGGGATGACCTGGCGAAACAACGTGGAGACTCTACGGCGACATCCCCCCACTACTGTATGTCATGTTCTGCTCTGCTTACGAAGGCAAGGCAGTAAGTAGCAATCGACAATATCATTAACTATCAGAGCCCCCTGTCATTCTCCAACACCATGGACAGGTCCTTTTGATCTCGTTGCAGCAACATGACCATGGCATGTCTTTGGGTCGCGTCGCTGGCAAGACGAAAGTCTGGGCGCTCAATGGTGCTCACAAGACCACCGGGATGACCTCGTTCTGAAGGTGCTCATCCTCGAATGCATGGGCACGGCTGTTCCAGAAATGACAAAGCTCGCCAGAACTGAGGCGGGGCCTTGCGCTGCAGCTTTTTCACATGAGTGGCCACAAGGAAACCAAGGTAGCCTGGCGCTCACTAATTGTAGCGGCGCATGTAAAAAGAATGTGGGCTACGGAGAATGCCTAGGCTGCAAATTGGCACCGTTGTCCAGACCTGAACAGCGAGAGCATACTACAAGTGCCACAGGTAGAAGCACCACACGGCAAGCTGAGCAGGGGACAAGGTAGCTAAAGTAGACAAGCGATAAGCCACAGGCACCCTTCCTCCTCAAAAGACTGTGCTCGGCGATACGCGGCCGGGACCTGTCTATGCAGTCTCTCCTGTCGACCTCCGGGTCGCTTGTCCACAGGAAGCCAACCAGGTTCAAGACCTGCAGAGCTCAACTGATCTCCGGCATGATCGCTGTGAAGAAGCATGCAGAAACTGAAGTTGTCTCAAAGCCCGGCCACGAGGATGGTGAGAACCGCAATGCGGCCAACAACAGCCTTAGCACAACGGTTTCCGTATCAAGAAGGCTCCAGACAGCGGCATAGCTCTGCTATCAGGGCAGCACATTAGGGTCTGTGACGTAGGCCAGCCCGCTGAACACCAAGGTAAGAAAACCAAACCTGCCGTGGCGCAGGGACACTGGGCGGCCTACAAACCCTTTTGCCGGGACCATCAGATTGTTCAAGCGTGCCAAGCCGGACCACATCAGGATACCATCCTCGGCTAGACGAATCAGAACGTCAGAGCGACGTGAAATGCCTTCACAGCAACGACCTCAAGTCCTTGCAACACCTCGGCATAGCATCATCTATTTGTCGGCTTAAGTATCGACCTCTGGCACATTGGGCAAGCTTGCGCGGCTGTAGCTCTTCCCACGGTTGTATGTGCAGACAAGTCTCCAGGTTACGCGGACAAACGCTATCTCTATGCCTGGGTGCCGAGTGATCCAGATCACACAAACCCCGTCTCAAGTCTACTTCTGTCTGCTTCCAGCCGTACTCCTCCTGGCGGCTCGCCGAGGCAACGGCTCCCATCCTGCGAAAACCAGAACGATCCCAAAGATGAAGGGAAAGCCGACGTAGCAGAACCTGAGAGGTCCACAGATCGGCAAATCGGCACGGACTGCTCCAATGTACAAGCTCAAACATACTGGACTCTGCCCTTCCTGAGATCGAGCGCTTGCTGCAAGAGCTTAGCAGCAGCGGCATGGCCTTGTCTGACACTGTCAGCGGATGCGAGCGATGATCTGAGCGCCCCTGCCTTAACCATTCGGAAAGTCACAGGCTGCTGCGACAAGCTCGGATCTGCCAGGTCTCGCGTCTTTGCATGTTAGAAGCCAGGAAAAGCCCGTCTTGCGCTCGCAAACTCTGAGAAGCACTCTTGACATCATCGGGAACGGTCCACTGCTTCCCGCACCCTGCGCTGGGGGCGGCCAGGACCTCAAAACTCCTTTGCTTCGACTGCAAGAAAGAAGTCCGAAGGTCTGCAGAATGCCGGGTGCACAGCGCTCCGGCCAGGGGTTGTTGACCATCATCAACCTGCAAAGTACATTTCAGAATTGGAAAACGGCAACCTTTCAGAGTCAGCATCAGGTGCAAGCCTGGGAGTATCCAACAAAGCCTTTCACCATCGATGCAGCTACACCTTGCTTCAAGCTTCGTGTCTGACCAGCCTTTTGGGACTCTCCTTGTATCATCTAAACTGAGACTGCCGAACCTGGGCCGCAAGCCGAAAGCGCTGCGTCCTTGATCTAAGGCTCCGGAGTAGTCCGCGTCCTGCCGTCACAGTTGCATCCCGACCCTACTGAAAGTGCGAACTGCGCTGCAGGCCCTGTGACAACGCGACCAAGGACTTCGGCTTACCCTGGACTCAACAAGAACCGTAAAACCACCCATCTTGCCCCTTCCTGCAGCTGCACACCCCGCAGCTCCCCTCCATATCCGCAAGCTCAGAGGCCCGTTCCCGTCGTTGCACTTTCGGACTTTCGGATTCATTCGAAGAGTAATCCCGCTTGGATCGCACTTGGCTATCACGTTCTTTTTCTCAAGCAATCATCTCTTTCACCCTAAGCTCCTACTGAACTACACTCCCGAACCCATGATGCAGCCTTAGGCATGCAGACTGGTGAAAAGCTGCCTTCAGCGAAGGCAGCGGCGTTCTTGTTGGGCAGTGTTCTGCTAATTGCGAATGAATCGCATCTTTCGCAATCCGGCTTCCTTCTCTGTTGAACAACGCAAACAAGGTGCCATAAGAAAGGTCGGTGCAGGAAAGTTGCAGTTTGGAAGCCCAGTTGCGGTGGAGAGCAGAGAGGAGACTTTTCTCATCTCCGCCAAAATAAGTGCAGGTCGAATTCAGATTGTGCGATAAGAGCCTTGTTAAAACACAAGATGCGGCGAGAAGATCGACTGCAGAATCGAGATTGCACGACCTGGTGTCCTCTCGATGGCTCAAGATATCTGACCACTGCCTCTCTGCACATGTCCCTGCATGCTGAGGCGAACCTCAGATTCTGCAACCGAAGGGAAGGGAAGGGAAGGGAACCCTCCCAAAGTCAGAAAGATGCAGAAAGAACACTTCGTCGGGTGCATGTTGCAGCCCTCAGGGCAAAGAGTGGCTGACACGGGCAGGAAACGAGCACGAAGGGTTCGAGGCACAAAGCATCGAAGAGCCTTGCATTCCCTGTCCCTCCTCCCAGCCTTCTCCCTTCTCTTGTCCGTTTCCTTGCCCCGGTCCCAGGCCTGGCTCGGAAAACCCGAGAGCCGAAGCATGGGCCCACCAGCCAAAAAGCTCTAAAATCGTGCGGCACAGTCTGTCGAGCTGGTCATGCTCGCTTTCCGAGCCCAATCTGCGCAAAGCCCGCAACCCCGAACTGCATGCTGCCTTCGCTATGCACAATGAATCCTTCGCGACTCCTGTCATCCCATTATCGGCGCATGCCGGTTTGCTAAAATCAGCATGAAACGCAGGATGGAGGACAACACCACTAAGCCACTAGGGTGAAGGCGCATGCTTGAGCTCGTAAACACAATGAGCTCAGTAAGGATGCAGTCTTGCGTTGGAAAGAGCTCGCATAATACAGAACGCGCAAGCCTTGCTCGACTGAACTGGAACCGCTGGCAGGTCAGAAGTCAGAAGCTCTTGCTTCCTCGGCACCAGCGAGGCGATAAAAATGCAAAATGAAAACTACACCGTCGAACAACACATTAAACAAGGCGGCCTTGCAATCAATGGAACGTCAGCCCGTTCGTTGTACTCGAAGAATGAAGGCAGAGCCTAACTGACAGGACATTAGAGCTGGCATCGACATCTTAAAAATTGGCATGTGCATTGCGAGCTTCAACACATAGGGCCTCAGATGCGGCCTTGCGACACTTACCGGCCTGTCTTCACAAGGTCCATGTGTCCTCATCGGCTGACGTGGGGTCAATACCTCGACTCGAGCAAACCACCAAAGCCGTTGTCTCAGAGTGCACCGAGGCATGCGCCGACCCAGCTTCGACTCAGTAGCTCAGCTGCACTTGGCCGCAGCCCACTGTCAACCTCGGTTTTATTCGCGCTTCCAAAACGGTTGCGAGCGCAGCACAGCCTCGGTGGGTGACGCACAAGCTCTCTTTCACGATCTCCCGGCACTCCTAAGTGAGAGACAGGAACTGGTTGACAAAGGCTAACGAGTCGCATTGCGAACTTCGCGATTTGCAACTTGCAGAATGTGAAAACAATCAGCTTAATGCCTCTTCTCGCTAGTAGCTTCCATTTCCGACTGCCTGCGAATGGACCTCTCTTTCACACACACACACACACACCAAACGTCTCTGCAGCACTCAAAAACAACTAACACGCCAATAAAAACCATAAGTTATAAACTATAAAGTGAGAATGTCAGAAGTTGGCATTAAAGTTGCAACCATTGCGGAAAATTTGATCCCAGGACAGCTCAAGCGCTTTCAATGCTTAAAGCAAATAATCATCCAACTGCCTCAGTTCCTCTGCGCTTCGAGCAAATCCTCAACAATATTTTCCGCGCTGTACTGGCATCCCACGATCAGCCAGGTGCACAAAACCGCTGGGTGCGATGTAGGCCGCCGCAACAAGGGAGGAGGACGCGAAAGGGCCGTCCTGCGCCCTGTGCACTCCGACTCCAACCGTTTCTCTTCATCGCTGAGACAAGCACACATGGGACACACCAAACGTAGAAAAAATGGCGACTTGTTGCGGACACGCTTAGTTGGACGGTTCAATGTAAAGGGTTTAAGATTAGGGCCGCAAGCGCTTTTCAATTGATCAATCTTGCGGTCCGTTTTCTGCACCTGCTTCCAAGGGAGCTTTCAGGCAGTGGACACAAGCCTCCAGGCAACTTGCACCATGTCGTTGTTTCGTGAGCGGTGCCCTGACGTGCGTGCGCTGGTGACCAAGATGTCGTCCGTCTCGCGGACCCGAGTGCAGGTCTTCAGGGCATCGCATCCCGGTTAGAAAAGATGGTGTTTCCATGATTTCCACACAATCCACGCCGGAAAAAGAGCTGTGCAGGCGTCCCACGCGGTGCAAGAAAGCACAATAAAGTGGCGGTCCCCTCAGGCGCCGTCAAGCGTTTTTGGAGCTTCGGAAGGGATTCGGAAGAGAGGTGGGTGACGCCCGTGTCAGAAAAACGAGTCGAAAACGGCAAACGCCAACTCAGAAAACCAAGAGGGCCGAGTCGGAAAGACGGGGAGGCATGAGTCGGAGAACGAGGGGTGTGCGAATCGGAGAGCAAGGCTGGGGAGTCAGAAAACCGCGCATAGGTGATCAAACCTAAGCCCTCAACACTGTTTGCCTTTAATTTTAAGTTAATCGCACGACCCTAAACCCCAAACTGTTCAACCCTAAACTTTGACCTTAAACCGCAAAAGCCTTAGAACCTTTGCTTCAAGGTCGGCCTCGAGGGCGTCTCCTTCAAAATCTGGCGCAAAAAGGCCGAGGCCTGCCCAGGTTGCTTGGCTTGCAGCGTGCCTTGTAAGACTCGTGCAGCTCGGAAGGAACCATCCACCAAGCTGGCCGGGTGGTCGGCACAGTTGGCTTGCATGGCCTTCAGCTTCGCACGCAAGTCCGCGGACCCCAACGCACCAAAGGTGCGAAGAAGACTCGCGGCACACCCCGCGCTCAAGATATACCCAGAAAATATCAATTCTCAAAGGCCTGGGCAGGAGCACCTTCCACTACGCTGCGCACAGAAGCCGTTGCAGGATCCGTGGCCAGGCAAATAAAGCTGCCTGCCTTTGGCGGACTATGGTCCCGCACGTCAGCCCTGGTTGGACATCTCGCCCATAGACGTCAAGGGTGCAAAGCGTCCAGGTCCCTGGGGACAGAGTGTCCCAACTCCAATAATGCCCGGATCAGGAGCAGACGCATGAGCAGATCCACCTGCTGAGCAACCTTGCAGCGAACTCTCCAGTAGAGGGGCTTCGCCATAAAGTAGAGCTCGGAAAGGCTATGTCTTACACCGTCGGGCGAGGCAACAACTGCTGCGGCAGCCTTTGAGAGCTCCGTACTTGTGGGTTGAAAGTCCCCACTGCAGAGACCCCTACTTTAGATATCAGGTCGAGCATGCACAAGCCCTAAATCCCAAGGCCTAAACCCTAAACCCTTATCCATGGCTCCGTGAGGCGGCACGCAGTTGGCTGGGAGAGCAGTAGACTGGAGGTTTTCTGTACGAGGGTCGGGCTGGTTTTCGACTCAGGCTCTTAGCCTGGTTTTGTATCTGGGGGGTCCGTGTCTGTTTTCGACTTGGGGGTTCTCACTGTTTTCGACACGGGGCCACCTGACTCGGGAGCCCGGACTTGAAAGGACTTTTGCCGACTTGACAATCACTCTGACGTCCGTTTCGGTTGCTTGCCACCAGCACACTGCTCAGGTTGCTCAGGCAGCTCACTGCGTCCAAGTGTTTCCAACCATCCTACTCCGTAGCTGCCTCTGACACTCGCATGAGTGCTCGTGATTCGCCATAATGGTTCCTGAATCTCGAACTCTCTTCCTGGTCACGTGGTTCATCTCAAATTTTGGTGTGCTTGGGCTTGGCCACCGGATCCTCAACCTTCTGTCCCCTTGTCAGGGACAATGTCAACTGCTGGGGGACTGATGGTATCCTCCAAAATCACATCTCTTATCTCGGTTGCACGGGTGATATCCTGATCGCCTTTGGAGGCCTTCGCCCCGCTTTGAGGGACAGCGCATGTCTCATCCGGCTGAACAGGCTGCCCTTCCATGGCAGACTGTATTCTCCTGCAGCTCGTCCGAGAAGGAGGGAGGTGTGTCAACCTCGAGCTTGGCAAGCGTTCCCTTCCTCCTCGTCACGGGGATTGCATGTTGTGCTTCAGGGTGGCCCTTGCAACTGCGACATCATCCTCGACATTCTCAAAATCCTGATCTCCGACAGCGGAATGGTCTCGATTATCTCCAGCCTGTGGAACCAAAATGGCAAGGCCATCTTGGCAGTCGTCTCCTTACATAATCCTGCACGTCGCCAGTAGGTTGAAAGTTGTAAACTGTAAATAACAGCAACGAATGAAATTAACAGACTTCAACACGCGTTAATACTCACAGCTTGGCTACTGTATCTCCCAACCCCTGCTCATCCTCACAAGCCTTGCAGCTGAATGATCTCCAAGTCTCACCGCTGAAGGTAGCCCATCCCGGTGCATCGCATTGGACAGGCTGCGAGATAACTGCATCCATGAAGGAATTCCTGACAGAACGTCTATCGATGCTTTGGCGTACCTCCGTGGTTTGAAGCCACTCTCCTGGATGAATATTTGGATAGCCGCCGAGGCAGATCCCCACGCAGCATGAAGTGCAAGCACCTGTGAGAGGATCCATTCGGAGAATTATCTTCAGTTTAGGCAACAAAGACTATATGAATAGATGCAAAGTGCTCTAGTTCTGCACTCCACCACGCTGATTTCAGTCATGCAGCAAGCCGCAGCTCCAAACATCAGCAGGTTCTGCGTGGCTCTTGCCAGAAAGAACCTGGAAGAGGCTGTTTTTTTTTGTGTCAAGACGCCGGGTGCTTCGCAGTTATCGCCTCGGGAGAGGCGAACTCGGCGGTGAAGGTCATGCTCAAGGCTCCACCTGCGCAGAGCTCTCCAAGGGATGCTTCTGTCGGGGGGGGGGGGGGCCCAGGACCCCCTTTGTGGGGCCTTCGAGCAGGGAGTGGGCGGCATTGAAGTCAGCAAGCCAAAGATTGTTCAAGTCATCGGAAACCAGGATGTTCTCTGGCTTCACATCACGGTGAATTATTCCTTGCGAGCACTGCTGTGAATCTTCACGTGTCCACACAACTGAGGAATCAACAAAGCAGGGCGGTTCTGAGTCGGAGGAGGCGCTCTGCTGGTGCAAGAAATCGACTGCCTCCAGCAGCATCCTCGGAGTGAGTTTCAATCAAGGTTAGCCTCCCAAACAAACATCAAAGAAGACCCCTCCATTCAAATCAAGCATCTTAAACAAATGCTTGGATGTCATCTCGTCCACAGAGGATGCTTTCCGTACTACTTGCTGCAGATTGCTCTGGCTGTGAAGTTCCATAGCCAGGACTGCCTCGTTGTCGTGGGTCCAGAAGTTCAGCACATTGACGATGTGCGGATGCCGGAGAGTACGGAGCACGTTGAACTCACCGCAGCGGATGCGCAGCATCTCCTGACGACGCTTGCCTCTCCTTGCCTCTCCCGGTCTCCGGCCTGCAGCTTGACTTTGGAACTCCTGCCTCGTCCAAGCACTGCATCACCTTCAGTGCCACTTCTTTGTTGTCTTGCTTCTGCTTCGCCTTGAAAACCTTTCCAGCAGAACCGAAGCCCAGCAGTTCCTGGTCAGAAACTCGGGGTTCTGGGCAGGAAACTTTCTTGCCAGTCAGGTGAACCCCTCTCAAATCCTGGATGTCGTAGTCGCGCATAGAGGTTCCTGGAAGGGTGAAGCTCCTGCCAGGGACCCAGCGGAGATCTCTATGACACGCTTTAAGCCCTTTCACTGTCCCCGCAAGCTTGAGCCTCTTGGCCACTGAGAGGTTTCCCAGCGTCAGGCATCGCCGAGATTGAAGACCCGGCATGATCACAGAGTCAGAGCTGATCGCAGTGAATAGCAAAGAGTCATACTATAGAGTTGGCTTTCAGAACACCTTGAAAACTTTCAGAACACCTTGGGAAAGCAAAACCCTGCACATTACCATTGGGAGGTGTCATTCTTTTCGAGGCAGCTCTGCCCTTCGAGCCGTTGTGCGACACAGCATGGCAGCTGAACTGTCGAACTGCTCACTCATAACCACGTGAAAGAACTCTCCCCTCTTTCCTGAATGGTCCGGGCGAGGGCTTCTCGCAGCAGGCTGGGCAAGTCCGTGTCCTGGCTTTGAGCAGCAGCATTGCATGCGGTGATTGGATTTCGGAAGTTCTTCCAGCCTTGCGGTCCACGTTGCCGTACCTAAAGGCGGGGCACGGTCATGTGGAGAGCGTCCAAGTGACTTAGATCTAGGTGGGATGCCAGGCCGAGATGGCTCCCAGAAGCTCGGCGCGGTGGATGACGTGGTCACCTGCGACGATTTTGGACTGTCTCTCTGCTGGCTCCGCTCTTAGTCATTGCACTTTGAATGCAGCCGGGCCGCCTAGTGTGTCCGCCTCCTGCATGACACGGAACACTTCGTGCCGCGGGACCTCCGCGGCCGAGCCCAGCTAAAGACATGGTCACTGCGGCTTTCGAAGGCCGTCAAGGCTCAGTTCCCTGCCGGCTTGTTGCCGTTCATCGCCGTCAGCAAGCGTTCCAGTTCCACCACGGAGAGGTGTCCCGACCTCGAGCAGCAAGACAGGTCCTGTTCACTCCATGCAGTGTTTGTCAACCAGAAGCCAACGCGAAGCACACGCACCCCCACAGTCCAGGGCCATACAACATCATAAAACCCTCAGCCCTCGCAACGCCCTACATTCTGGAACTTGTGTTGTGGAGTCTTCGTCTTCCGTGGTGTGCGGCATGTTCAACACCTGCAAGCATGCACGCAGCACCAGAGAGCAGATGAGAGCAGCTCCAAGGCGAAGGCCGGGAGCCAGCTCAAAGAGCAACGGTACATCGAGACTTCGAACACTGGAATGCGACTGCCCGATGACGAACATTTCGAGGGTGGGCACGATGTTTGGGCAACACAGGCCAAAGCAGCGCGAGTCCAAATCCAAATTCGGCAGGGGGTTGGAAGCGGGAAGGCTCCTAGTGGGCGAAACTGACTGTACGGCCTAGGGCCTAGACGGTCCTTAAGCGTGTGAGCTCCAGGGCCCAGGCTCGTCGAAGTCGAACTCAGCAAAGAGCCGGAGAAGCGAATCCTCAGAAGCATGTCGAAGAATCTCCGGCTACGTTTGTCAATCCCTTCAAAAGCCAACTTTTTACGCTCCCTGCCAATCTGTGCAAGAGCGGAAACTGAATTGCACTGCGATCTCAACGGGACAAGCACAGAAAGAGATACGGAGACATACGGCAACTGTCGTGTCCATTCGCCGGATGCAACTAGCCAGCTGCGGTGTCTGCCGTCACATGCTGGCACCCGTCCCGAAGACCAAATGAGGTGTTAGGCACGGCCACTACAATGAAGGTCGTCAGTGGTCCTACCATATACACCGGATTGTGCAGTCTGGAGACTTCCGCACACCACAATCCGCTCTTGTCTGTAAGCAGGCACAGCTCCGTCGAGGGCAGGCACTCCACTTCTGAAGGGGCCTGCGCCGGTGCCACCCGAGTTCTTCTCCGGAGCTGTGCAGGCTACAGAGACACTTGTCGGAATGCGTCCAACCAACGCTGAAGCAAAGAAGTCATGCAGAAAGCGAGAAGCCTGCGGTACCTCACGTCCAACTGTCCCCGAATTATTTGATCCACGAAGAGCTTCTTGCTTTATGCGGATCAGGATCTTGCCGTCCTGGAGTTGTCTGTACACCGGGATTCACGAGGCGGAGCCCACCAGCATGCAAAGCTCAGGCATGCGCTTAGTCCGGGGTCCATCCTACAAACAGGAGCAGCCAGCTACTTCTTGGCGTCGCCAGCAGGGCTACAAGAGCACGCTCCCTCTGCAAAAGTGAGGAAGTATGCTCGGGAGCCCCTCACATGCACGACTACGGTGACTACGTGCAACAGGTTCCCTCAAAGAAGACTACATCCAGGTCGCAAGTCTCAACCAAAAGCTCAGAGGGACCTCTGCAAGTGCTGCAAAGCAGAAAATTCCACATTGGGAGCGAAAACCGATGGGGTGACTAAATGCCACAGCTGTTCACCCATGGCCTGGAAGCACTCCAGCTTTCAACTGCCAAACATCGGCGTTCCATCCGAAACCTACTGTACCATGATGGCCGTCGATTGTCGTACTGATCTGGTCGAAGTCTTCCAGTCAATGGCACTTGCACTACTGTATCGAATTCCGAATTGGCTTCTGCTGGTGTTCGGAAGATCCTTAGCAAGGCCGGCGCGGAAAAGTGTTTGTCGGAGATGTTCCAGGCTCAGCCCGGAACTTGCCAGATTAAGCCTGCAGCCTAGCACGGCAGATAAACACATGGAGCAGGGCCGCAGGGCGGGGCAGGGCAGGGCCTGGTGCTCCGCTTCGAGGCTCTGCTTGCCTTCTGCCAACCCTGAGCTTCCGCTTCTCTCAGGCACTCTCCCGTACACCTCTAAACGTCTGCAAACAACGGGTCAGCTTGGGCAAGCGCTGCCATTTTTTGGTCGAACTTGGCCTCTTTCCAAAAGCTTCTTGCAAATACATGGGTCCCCCCAGTCTAGACGATCTACGTGGTCGCGAACTGCGAGGGGACGATTCTGCAGGGATATATATGTGCTACGAGTACATCCCCAGTCAGTGGCACATATTGAAACGATGGCCTTCAGCGTCCACGCGACTGCTTGGCTGGCCTCAGGACGTCACTGAGACCTTCGCGCTGGTGAAGCACAACCATCTGGGCGAGCTGCCAGGATAAACCAAATGGAGGACGGAAGCACCTGAACACCAGTCCAATGTTGCTCCACAACCCTCAGCCCTCCCAAAACAAACTGCCTGCACACACACTTTGACCGCGTAGCAAACGGCCATGAACAGGATCAAGCACATCCTCACAGCAGGGCCAAGCTTTCCGGACTCACGGAGAAGCCTGAGCTTCCGCGGCCCTCAGATTGCAAGCCAGGCTTCACCCACTTCGACTCCGACTCAGAGATGGCAGCACGGATCATTTCAGGTCACTTCGGGTTGTGACCGCCTAGCCAGAGCCTTTCCTTGCAGAGCCAGTACACGCTGCAGACGGCCGGAACGAAGCCGGAAAGGACAGCCAGAAACCAATCATGCGATGCTCCGAGCGCTTCCGAGCTACGATCCACATGAGCCCCGGGCGTCCATGTGACGATAGCTGTGCCAGGCACGGAGGGCATAGTGCAACCTCTGGCAGCAAGACCGCACAAAACAAAAAACTCCTGGCCGAGTGATGGGCTTAGGAGCTTTTGTCAGAGAACAAGTTATTGGCAAAGTCTTAACTGAGAGGTCGGGAATGCCTGTCAGGGCATAGCAGTGCATCTGAAACGGAGGCCGCTGAAGCTCTCTCGGGAGATCCGTGCAGCTGCGCAGCTCCCCCAAGCTGATGCGGCCATCGCCATCCTGAAATACGCAGGAGGCGAGTGGAGGCGAGCGAGCAGAGCAAGAGCGATAGTTTTTGGCGGCGTCCGCGTTTCTTCGGCACTCTGACCCTGCCTTGTCAGAGAGCTTCATCATGAAGGCGTGCCTGGTCGAGCTGGCAGCATGGAGCCGAGAGCGGCCGAGGCTGGCCGGGGCTAGGGGGCCGGGCTCCTCTTCTGTGGGCTCGCGGCCTGCGTTGATGGGTATGCCCCCCCCCCCGCCTCCCCCGTGCCCACGCGGCGCGTGCCTTCGTTAAAGTCACGCAGCAATGCACGGAACTCTTCGACCTCGAGGGCCTCAGAGGGATCAGAGTCCGAGGACGACGGCGGCGGGCTATCGTTGTTTTAGATGTGCTTGGTATTGGTGGTCCCTTGATTTCCTCGCCAGCGGCGGGTTGCCCGCCCCGGAGTTTTGGGCGTGCGTCCTGTCGGTGCGCAAAGGCAAGTTTGCTCCCCGCCCTTCTCCTTTCTGCCGCCCGCTCATCTCCCCTCGTGCTGAAAAAAGCTTCGAATATGCACCTCTAATTTCTTGTGGCAAGCTCTCGGCGACTGTCCCCGAGGCGGCTCGTGCTAGTGGCCAAATTAGAAGTCTTTCGGCTCCCTTCTGCCAGAAGTGCTGAGAGTTAGACTCCAGAGTTGTCCCTGTCATACTCCATGAAAATCTCCTTCAATGCAGCTTGTTTCGGCCTTGCATGATTTCTGCGATAACTGGGATAATATCCAGATGCATCGTCTTCAGCTGTGAGCCTCGCGCATCATCGGAAAACCTGAAATCCTCAACCCCAAACAGGTTCGAGGCTGTCCTGCAGGCGAATTTCATAGGTGTTCCAACCTTTGCCAGAAACTCAGACATCGCACTGCCAAGGCTTAAACTAAGCCTGGGCTCTGGGCGATCGCGGGCCTCGAGTCGTGCGGCACCTGCGTCCGCCCGGCCTGAGCTGCGAGGCGCGCGAGAGGGGGGCGTGTCTGTCGGCGTTCCAAAGGCCTGTCGGTGCGGGATTGCTCCGATCCTGAGCGGACCTCCAAGCGGCCAGTGCCGTCTCCGAGCTCTGAGGGGAGGCCGGGCCACCGGCCGAGGCAGGGGCGGCTGCTTCGGCTCGGGCTCCTCCGGGCGGAGCACCGTCGCCGCCTGCTCGGGCTGAACCTCAGAGCTCCGCTATGCGCTGCCAAGGGCAGCGGCTAGTCCAGGGGGCGTATTTCACACTGTCGTTCTCCAGGGCCACCTTGATGCAGCCCTGCAGTACCACGACCGATTACAGTCCATCAGATCCCAGGATGATCCCAGGATGCACCTCGGGTGCCTCACACACTCACTCACAGATCCACTCAAAGCGATTTTCGGGCTGGGCGCTCGCTGCTGTCAGGAGGGACGAAGATGTCACGGTAAAGCTTTGGTATCGCATTCGCTGGTTCTGTCCTCCGCTTTCCATTGTTCGAGGCTCATTGTCAGAGCTTCATCGAGCAAAGAATGAATGTCCTTCAAAGCTTGCTCACTGTACCATTCGTTTGCAAAGGATTTGTAGTAAGGACGCAGCTCGCAAAGTAGGAGATGCGTTCTTTCTTCGATTCTTCGTGCAAGCCAGTCCTCAGTACACACCAGCACGCGGACGAGGCGCTGGATGGTGTAGTTATGGTTCGCCGCCGTCCGCGTATAGTCCAATGTGCGGGGCATAATACGGCAGAAGCGGCATACACCGACTTTCACCACACCATGAGTGTCATCTTCGGAGCGGGCATAGAGGATGTGCACGCAGGCCGACCAGGATTCGCTGATATGGTTCAGCACCCTGCCGGCAAAAACGGCAAGACCGAAAGGCGTTGGTGGATGGTGTAGTCGGATGATCAGCTTGGACAGTCGATCTAAGATTTGGGTATGGTTCCCCCCCCCTGGTTGTGGTCTCATCCACCATCACCTTTTGCGGAGGCATCTTCTCGTGGATGTAGCACCAGACCAAGCCTAGGCACAACGATGCACAGAGGGGAAAGCTGGACTACAGCAGGCGAAACCTCTCAAAAAGGGGAAAAACCTGCTGCTACTGCCGCTGTTGTCCGGTGATCACCTAGCCGAGGCGCACGCTGATCACCTCTGCGATCGCAGGGCACGCGATCGGCGATCGCAGGACGTGTTGCTGGCTCTCCCTTTCCCTTCTCGCTCTCTGTAAACCTCAGTCTTTAAGAACTCTAAAGGGGGAGTGCTCCCGGGAGCAGGCGATCGGTGATCGCAGGATTCGGCGATCACCGATCGCAGGATTCGGCGACAGGAAGGATCTGCAAGGAGAGTGTGAAGAGCTCAGGGCACAGCTTTTCCTTGCACAGCGGCAGCTAGCAGCGGTGCTCTCAAATGGCTGCATGGGGCAGCACATGAAAAGGCGAAGCTTTCTTGTGCATGTATATCGAGAATGCATGGCGGTGCATCAGCCTGCATATGAAGGGTGTAGGATGGTGCAAGATGGCAACATTCGGAAACCTCGGGCATGGAGTAGCCATCAGCCACGCAGGCTTGCTCGAAGATCCTCCAAACTGCTCGCTCTGCCATGCAATGAGTATGTGCAAGGTGCAACAAGGTGCAACAAGGTGCAACCATGCCCCTGCTGCCAAGAGTCTCTGAGATGGTGCCGCGAACCTTGCAAAGACTTTGGTAACAACTTTGCTGCTCAAGAGTCGGGAGCTGCATCGAGGCTTTGCCGAGGCACCCAGGTTCCGACAGAGTTGCTGTAGACCAGGACTGCTTGTCCTGGAAAGTATCGGCCGGAGCCTGAGAAGGGTGGGATTCTTCGCGAATTCTCAATCACCGTGCAGTTCTCAGCTCCCTGCCGGCAGGAGCTGGCGCGGGTCCGGGAGGCTCTACTCCCCGCTGCCCAGGCATTGCGAACCCACGACAAAACAAGTCTTGTCACTGTTGAGCTGTTAGGCCGGCGAAGCGGTACCGTGTTTGCCTACTGACCTCCTCCTGAAGACTCTGAGCCAAGCATGTTCTGTCATTGAGCCCGGCTCGCAAGCATTCATTGGAAAGAAGTCAATGTCCCACGGCCGTCCCACGAGCATTCGTTCATTCAGCAAAATGCTCTTTTCGATCTGGCACTTATCATGCTCGATGTCAACCCTCCGCGCTCGCGCGGCATGAACAAACACTGAATGCTGCTGGCGCGTACTGCAAGTTCAGGTCGACAAGGTCGACCACAACTAATTCCGCAACTTTTGCCCAGGCCAGCTGCCAGGACATCGAAGCCTTCCGCCGCTCGCAGCGTGCGCGAATTATGAATTTCACGGTGGCATGATGCCAAGTTTCAGTCGTCCGAATAGAAGCCGGCCAGCACCTTTGCACGTTTGACACGTGAGTGCTGCAGCTGAGTGAGCAGAGCGAGCGTGTCAGCTGGGTGTGGCGGAACGCACTGCACGTTTTTGCCGGCCTTGTGCGCAAAGTCCTCATGCAGTTCGTCATGCCAACTTATCAAGCAATGCTTGAAGGCTCTGTCCTCCAGGTCGCGCGGTGGAGCTGTGGTGAGGCGCCGGAGGCCTCTGGAATGTCGACATGTCCACGAGCAGTGCTCGGCCTGACCGAGCACGCGGCTGAGCCCCAGGACGGTGGCGACTTTTGCTGCATCGCACTCCAAGTGAAGACAAAGATGGCCAATGGCCTGCCGGCAAAGCAGCCGAACCCAAGCAACGTGCGAACACGGCAACTCAATCCTGCAGCAAACGTGTGTCAGGTCCAGCTCTTCGATCTTGCTCCCTGGGCATAGCACCACCAATGTCAACACAACTCGTCCCTGAAGACTTGTCTTGCTGGCCAAAGCACTCCACGCTGTTCAGCATGGCAGCCTGTGCTGTGACACAGGGGGAACGAATGGTCGCCGAAAGTGACTGACTTCGGAGGCCGGTGAGAACTACATCCAAATCTGCACAAACCTGAACACGCAGGGTGGAAGTCAAAGAGGCACTTGGCTTGCAGACATCTGCAAGCAAACCCGATGTGCTTCAAGAGCCACGAACAGCTAGAGCAGGGCTTGAACCGCACATCGCCTGTCCAGAAAGGCTGCACACTTTCCGAGACAGGCCTTGGACGTGAGTTCGGCAGCTGTGATTGGCATGGCTGGCCTTGCAGCTTCAAACACACAGCGTGAGCATCGACACGCAGGCGTGCTTCCGCGCCAAGCTCCGGGCGGCTTTGGCCTCTGCTTGCCTCTTCGGCGTGAACGCTGTCGGTGATCGATCGTCACCCGGCGTTTTTTCGAAGGACTCTTCCGGTGGTCTTTGACACAGCTGGTGCTCCCTGTCTGCTGGGCATGGAATTGATGATCTGCTCTACGAATCTGTGACTAGCATATATCAGCATCGCACGTATTCGAGACTAAACCTGCACAGCGAAAACACGGCGATTGAATCGAAAGCACTGCTGCAGGTAGAGGTGTTGCTTAGCCATGGAAGCGTGCCTGTATAAAACGTTTCTTGACGCGATTCGCACGGAGTTGTGAAAGCTCCTTTTTTTGCCAAACTCGATGCTGGGCAGCACGTCAGCACGTCCTGGCAGTGCAGGGCGACAGTCCAGGTTCTTCGGATATATAGAGCACCCCTGTGCTGCTTGCACGCCAGAGGACCCTACAAGGCAATAGGCAGCACATTGAAACACAGCAGCTGAACAGTTGAGCCCCCGACCGACCGACACGTGCAGTCCACTGCAGCCGGCCAGCCCTGTTTCATGTCAAAGTGTCCGAGTGACCGGTCCTGTTGCTTAGTATGTTCATCCGAGACTGCAACGAACCACAACTATCCACAATCCTAGGAAGAGGCGGAGTGCAACGAACCACAAGTACCTACAATACGAAGAGGCGGAGTGCCAGTCCTTGCACTGATGCGCCACGCACAAACCAAGCTTCACTGGGTTTCCCATTTTTTGGGAAACCAAAGAGAAACCAGACAAGCAGGGACACACCGTTTTAGGTGTTTGCCCTCTCCGTCCCGGCAGGCCGGCAGGGTATGAGACACGTGGCCAGGGGCAAGAACTCTTCGTGTAGGGCTTGGAAATTCGGAAACACTGATACTGAGTCATACTCCAACAGGGCCTGCCGTTAGCGATAGTAGGTCTTATGTACATGGCTGGCCACCCGCTCCGCTTGCCTGCAGCACATGTGCTCTTGCTCATGGTTCAGGCAGGAGCATCCTGTCCGTCCTATCCAGCCGCGCACAAAGAGTCTTCAAGCAGAACCTCAACGATCAAGGATTGCTTTCCGAGGCGCTCTATGGAGCCCGGCTGAAGATCGAAGTAGGACAGCAGCCACTCCTTCCGTGCGACAACCCTGCCTGCAGTGACAATACTCGAAGCATTTCCGCCGACATGGGATGACATGCGTTCATAAGGAAGCCACCAAGCCCAGAGTCGCAAGGCTCAGTCCTTGTCTTCTGGTAGTGTAGTCTCACAGCCGGAGATTCGCACAGTGCGCTCCTGGTGCTCAGCACAAGTGATGTCTTTAAGACACCCACACGGCGACTGCGCACGCTCCGTGGCAGGGTGGTTCGCCCCGTGCACCAGGAGCCCTCCCGGGCGGCTCAGGAAGCCCAAGCCTGGGAGAAGGCGGCTTGGGCGTGGGCCCTGCCAAACTGATACAGAAAAGGCGTCCAAGCAGCCGGAGGCTATGTACAGCTCGAAGACCTTGTCTGTTGAGATTCAGTCAGCGATTTCGAGACACTAATCGCTGCACTCGAGCAGGCTAGCAGGCACTGGGACTGCGATGACACTGCAGCCTGGAGGCACACCACAACCGCTTGTAGACATCGCACCTGAAATGCTCTGCCCAGGAAGGACCCCGATCGGACAAGCAGAGACCGCGCCTGAGGTTCCTGACCAGAAGCACCTGTGGACCCCAAGTGCGCCCGAGGACGCGTTCGCAGCGAGTCGCAGCGTTTCTGCCACGGCACCGTCTTCGCCCGCTGCAGGGCCAGGGCCCAGGGCGCCTCCTGCGGCGTCGCACGGAGGCGCACAGGCACGACCGTGTGCACGGAGAGAGCCTTAAACAAAAGGAACAGGGGATCCATCCGCGAACTCTGACGGCGACACGGCACGTGTGCCTGACGGACGCATCTGACGCTCTCGCTCTCTCCGCCAAGCTTCCAGAAAGGAGATCCACAAGTTGGGAGGCTTCTTCCAAGAGGAGAAAACCTGCGTCGGCTCGCAGTTCCGGGCTCCCCGACATGTTTTGCTGTGTTCTTCCCAGGGTCCCAGCCCAGCCTCCACCACGGCCTCTGCAAAGGCTACGAAGGGCCCGTCCCAGCTGTGAGAGATGAAGGCCTCGCCCAACCTGCAACATGAGGCCACGCTTCACAAGGAACGTACTGCGGGCATGATCCATCATAAAAGTGCACTTGGTTGATCTGGGGCGCAGAGGTCGCTCGGAGTTCAACAGTCGCGCATATCCCAGATTGGGCTGGGAAGATGTCGCCTGACGCACAGAAAGAAATGGGGTCGCTGCAAGCTCATCCGGCACCGCCAGGGCATTCGCCCCACATCTTGGGTGCGGGCTGGGCAAACAACCTGGTGGACAACCTCTCCTCAAATTTGCACGCTGGCTCTCGGACAAAGCCGCACTGGCGTTCCGCCTTCACCCTTTAGCTGCAGCTCCGGAACGCACGGTCATTACGGGATAAGTGATCCTGTCCGGAGGCATGCAGCAGAGAGGCCAGGGTCGTAGACCCTTCGACCTCAACAACCGAATGGTCGGGAGACAACCCATCGGTCGGTCCTGGACTCCTCTTGGACCTTTTCCTGGAACTCCATCAACTGCAAGAAGCTCACGGCCTGGGCTTTTCTTGCATCTTCCGTCCTCTCTCGGTCTTGCAGGATAACTTCAGTTCTCGCCCTCGCGAAGTTGCGGCTTCGCTGCCAAACGCGAGGGATGCATCACTAGCGGATACTGGCGAAGAACACGGTGTGGCGCCAGAGCACACTCCTGTTGCAGATTGGGGCAACTTGTGTCTTCTACCCGGTGTGTGCAGCATGTTCGGCTCTTTCAGGAAGGCTTTGCTTTGTTGTCCTTGGTGCCGTCACCCACCTGTCCGAAGAGGTTGCTGCCCCAGACCCAGACCTCACCTCCAGGAAGGAATGGCACCATCGGTGTGATCTAAGCCAAGCTGCAACCGACGAGACTGGAGCCTCGCTCACAGTCCCAGCAGGCAGTGTGATGCCAGCCGGCGGCGACCCCAACGCAATCGTTCTGCCAGAAAGAGGCAATGGGGGAGAAGCCGAAGTCTCAGAAAATGCCAGCTCCGAGCATTTGTGGAAACATTACAACGAGCCTGTTGGAAGACTCGTTGAGGAATTCTGCGGTCTTCTGCACTTGCCTTGGGCCGGCACGAAGTGTTGTTAACCCGACCTCTCTTGGATGTGTTGATGCTCTTGTGTCCACTGGAAGAACCAAGCTCAGTAATCACCCCTGTTGGTTTTCATCAGCAGGGCGTGGTATGATGTCAAGAGACGTCTCCCAGCTGGCCCACATCATTCGCTCCCCACGTCATCACTTCACCTGCAGGTAGAGAGGTGGAGAGAAACTCGGCCTCCATACACACCTGACCGACTCAAAGTAATCCCATTGAACATCCCCAGCCGCGGTATAGCTGTCGCTGGGCTTCATTAACATTGTTCACAGTATATGGCACCAGAAAAGCTGACAGAGCTGTAGATAGGTAATCCATGCCCAGCCGGCATTGAACACACTTTGCTGAAACCAGGGCCGAATGCGTTCAACAGTCCTCGGAAAATGCATTTGGGCTTGCGCAAAGCTCAGGGAGCTCAATTCGAGCAGTTCATGGGTTGTTGGTGAATCAGGACAAACTAAAGCATGTTCAGGTGCGGGATAGCACGTGCGAAAAGCGGGGGCGAATGCGTTTAGCGGCCTTGGAAATGCCAACCCGGAATTGGCCCGGATGTTGCCCCAAGCTGTTCTGAGAACACCTCCTGCGACAATGGAGCACAGTCGCAGACCACCAAGCTATATGGAATGATGATCAGCAAAACCTCGACCTCCTTCTAAGGGACCCCCGGCCGCAAGCCTACAAGCCACAAGTCGTGAGGGGCAGCCCCAAGAATTGCCGAAGCCTGAGCCCCTGAACCCCAACCGGCAATCAAAACCTAGACTCCTAGACGGATTGCTGCACTGCAAAACTCGTCGCCGAACAAGTTTGGGCTACAACCGCTCAATGCCCACAAAACGGAGTGATGGGCAGCAGGTGCCTTTCAAGTCCTGTGGTCTTTTGGTGTCTGTCGTTGCCTGATTCTCTTGCTGATTCTGCTCCAGCCATGGGCCTACTGTCATGTCCTTTCTCAAAGCCCCAGTCCCACCTGCTTCGGTGAGCGCCACGGTATGGGCGTAGCCACAGGCTAATGCAGTTACCGGCGAGCCCGTGACCGCGGCTGTCTCCACACGCACCTCAGATGGATGCCGTAGGTTTGTTGCAGAGTCGGCGATTGGAAATGGAGCGTTACGAGCGTGTGTTTTTGAGGGCACAAATGACGATGCAGCACAAGCCTCTCACACATGCGGAGCACTGCAGCACCCCTTCATGACTGATATGATCGGGAGGCGCCGGGAGCGGAGAGGCCTGAGCAGCGCCGTCCCCAAGCTGGCCACGGTCGTTGGCACCCAGGGCGAAGACCTCCGAAAACGAAGTGCGTAGCTCGCCCGTTGGCAGATCAAGGCATGCAATGCGTTGCTACGCCTAGCCGGCCTGGCCTGTCCATTCGCGGTGCGGAACGCTACATGGGCATAACCGCAGTCTGCAGACACGGCTCCACTACTGGCATCAGCCACCTGCTGCAGCAACGCATGGGGTATGATGTTTGCTTGTAAGGAGGCATGTCCCCGAGCGGATTCACGATATACAGTTGCATGCATCTAATTATTATCATCATTATTAGTAGTAGTAATAGTATTAGTATTAGTATTAGTATTAGTATTAGTATCAGTATTCGTATTAGTATCAGTACTAGTATTAGTATTAGGATTAGTATTAGCATTAGTATCATTATTGTTATATTTTCATTATTATTTTGTTACTATTATTATTTATCATTATGATGATTATAATGGTTATATATATATATATATTTGTATTTATCTATTTATATTTATACTTATGTTTATTATGTGTATATGTTTACATACATACATACATACATACATACATACATACATACATACATCCATGCATACATACATACATACATACATACATACATACATACAATACATACATACGTACATACATAC